ACGGACTTGCTCCTCCAACCTCGACTTGATTCGGCTTTAGGGCTGCGTCTGCAGAACTGTCAGCCTGCAGAAATCAAAACCCTCCTTGTTGTCAAGAGTTTATTCTGCGTTGGATAATACTAATACATTATCGGGTCTTCGTACTGTGGCATGTATGGAGTGGTTCAACTGTTAGCATTTCTAGCACAAGTGAAGACAGCAACAATTTAGTTTACAGTCAGAAGTTCATAATGGTGCTAGAATGAGTTGGTTGGACTTGGAACGAGGGCCTGGTGATTGTTGAAGGCTGGAAGAACGGATTTCATTTCCTGAATAGATCGTCATCCCCTGCTGTACGGTTTGACAAATTCCAAAGTGCATTTCAATGTCCAGAGAGAGCCCTCGCAAAGGGCCGGACTGCGCCAAAAGTTGTGAGGGTATTGATGAGCACTCAGTGATTAAACATGCGGCAGTGATGTCACAGCTACCATGCTGCCGGCTACCACACGCGGCTTTTTGCCCTTTCAGCGAGCAAATCGTCCGATGGGGGTACGATTGCGGGCCTCCTCTGTAAAAACCAAGCGAAACGATACTGAACCCTACGTCATATCCAAGCCCCGAAACAACATATCTCTCAAAACTGAGGCAGCTGCTGTTGAGGGCAGAGGCTCTCTTTCGCAGCCTGTGCAAGGGTTTCGTCAATGATTTGAAAGGGGCAGGCTTACCCCCTCTTTTTCGGGATTCATACTGGGCTTAAGAGGTTTTATTCGGGTTCAGAAGCGATGTTATGGTTCCTAGGGATAGCCTTTTCATGCTTAGGGTCAGTCCCGCAGTTCAAAAAGAGGATTGCAAGAGCAAACACTTGGCACAACAATCCTTGATGTCCCATCGCCTTGTTGACAAGGGACTTTATCCCCAAGCCATCAAGATTTGGAACCTACCTTATGGCTATGTTGTTGGCAAGACTGTTTAAATTCTGCCACGTCTGTTCTTTACACCCTAAACCCAATCCCTAATCTGGACTTCCCAAAGGACTATACCCTAATCCAAAGCTGCAAAGTCTGCACCCTAAGCCCAAAACCCAGAGTCCTTAGCGAGGCAAAGTTTAGGGAATCCATGGTTTGGCCCTGTTTTGCTGGTCCCGTCTCTGCCTTGCTCAATGAAGCTACCGTTACGAAGGATCCTCTACGAGCTCGCACATTGCAAGTGAGCAGTCGTCTCCCAGCCCCCCATGCTGATATATCTTTTCGGGTGACAAACCCTAAAGCCTAAACCGCTAAACCCTAAACCCTAAACCCAGCCCTGAACTCACGAACAAAATTGGAGCAGCTGCCTCTGGGTAACCGTCGTGACGCTGCCACCGCTCCTCGTAGTGGCCATTCCCCGAGCACATCAGGGTCCGGCGATCCTGGATTGCAAAGATGCCGGTTGACTGCGGGAGAGTACTATAATCAAGCTTTAATATGAGTTCAAAGTACATTTTCGTAAACTCATGAAAAACCCCTTAAGGGATAGTTTTGAGTTCTGGCTTTATATAGGGTTTACCCTGCGGGTTCACTTCCAAGAGGGCTTTCGACTCGGTTTTTTCGGGGTTTCGTGTTTTTGTTTCAAGGGACGACAAAGGTTTTGACAGGATTATGTTCAGGTAGACTGCAGTCAGTTCACGGTTTTCACTTGAGTTGCCATTGTAAGTCCCAACCCTGCATTCGCATTCCTTGAGGCTGGGTTCACAAGTTAGCTCGAGCTGCCCATTCATGAGATGAAGGGTTCGAACAGGCTTCTCAGACTTGTTGCTGGAAGCAATTACATGCAGACTTCATAAGCAGATGAGTTGAATGTCACGCAGACAGTTGATGAACTTTAGTAGGCTTTGACTTGTCCTCGGAATCATGTTGAAAGATGGTGCGATGCTGGCCTTGGCTTTGTGCTGCATAGTGATCCTTCGTCACGGGAACGTATGTCTTCCACCGTGCTTGGGTCGCTGGCGCTTTGAGTCCCTGGAAGACCTGACAGCTCATTTTGAGTTGTTGTGTTCAGACCCAAGGGACCTGGCTGTAGCAATCGCCATATATGGCATGCTGACAGAGGCCCGCCCGAGTCGCATGCGTTGGGAGCTGCTGTTTGAGCAGCGGCATGTGATAGGAGCATGCTTCCTGCAGCTGAAACAAGGCAGCACATATCCTTTTTGCTTGGAGCCGAACTACAAGATCTTTATAAACCGCTGCTTCTTGATGTTGGAGCGCCGCTTTGGGCGATTGGCTATGTGGGCTCAAGAGGACCTGACGACAAGACGGCTCTGGTTTCCTGATGTGGACTCTATTCTGGATGCAAGTGGCAAAGTACTTGTGCGTGGGACTGCGGATCATATTTTCTATGCGGAGCTGGACACGTCCTTGCTCGCCGTCGAACAGGATTCTCGATATGCTCGGTGGGTTAGATTTCTTTGTTTTTTTGTTGCAGGTTTGTCCCGTGTAGTGAAACAGTGGCAAACCAGAATTATCTCGGAGGAGATAGACTGCGAAGCCATGGAGCTGGTGGAGCAAGAAGAGGAGGAAGAAAGCAAGGCCCGAGTCGGTCATGCTGCAGTCTTTGCTTTCCGCGTGTTTCGACTGTCCATGCAGCTGTGCACCGTGAGAGTTTGTACGGCTCAGCAGCGTGTTAGTGCAGATCTCCCAGAGATGGACGTAGCCATGCAGGCCCCAGCCATGCAGATGCTAGTTTTGATTGTGGCTGCTGCATTGCAGCACTCGGAGACAAACGAGGATGTGCAGGCTTTTGCGCAAAAGCTGGATCGAATGATTCCGGCTTTGTATCACTTGCATTTTCTCGTCACCGCAGACAGGATGGAGTTGCTGCAAAATCTGCGTCTGCTGTGCTGCGTTTTGACGTCCGCCAGAAACTGGATGCAAGCTCTTCCGTGCAGCTCTGCCGTCGGCATCGCACTTGTGGAGTCTGGACTTGTTCCCAGACTTGATTGTCAAGGAAGCATCGTGCTTGTGGAGTCAGGACTTGTTCCCAGACGTGATTGTCAAGGAAGCATCGTCGGGAATCTGGAATTGTACGTTCCGGAGAGTGCTGAGGACAACAGCGTGCTGCTGGAAGTTCGGGCCGATGTCCAAACCTTTCGCGACTTGCACGAAGAGCTTCGACTCATTGTGGACCCGACAGCGGATGATACTTGGTCGTCCGTGCTGCGGTCCTGCCGCGATGCACAGGTGGCGTTGGAAGCTCGGATGTGATCCATCTTGGTGTCTGGGGGTGCCGTACACTGCTACACATACTTGCAGTGAAGAAGACATCTCACGATGCAGCGTGTCCAGTCGAATCCCAGCAGGATGTTTCGGGAGCCAGGGCGCACCACACTTGAGAGTGGAAAGCAGTTTTTGGTAGAAAAGAGTGTTGCGGCGTGAGTGGGTTGTGTGCGTCAGCCAACACCGAAAAAGCTGCACTGACGACCAGGCCCAGGAAGAGAACGAGGAGGAGACAAAAAGTAAAGCAGAAGCCGAGGCGAGATGAGTGCTGCAGCTTGAATACGCAAGCCCGAAAGCCGAAGCCTCAAACCCAAAGCCCATAAGCGGGAGAAGACCCTAAACTGCAAAACGGTACCCCTGTTGACTTTCATGGAAGGCCGTGGAAGACCCAATGGAAGAGGAGCAGCAGAAGATTCAGAACTACATAGATCTCTTGTCAAGTGGAGAGGCCAGGGGGAAGTCTTAGTTTTCAAGGGCTTCGAGGTAAGGGTTGCAAAGGGTAGGGGCTTAGGTTTCCAACGCCTGCGGTTTACTGCAAGGTTTAGAGAGCGCTTGCAGACAGTTTAGGGAGTAGAGTCTACGAAAAGGAGGAAAGCCTCTGAAGACGAGTTCCCTAAGACCCAAAAGCACAAAGCAGTCTAAAACCCCCAGGCCGAAGAAGCGACAGGAAGCAGGAAGAGAGCAAGCTCCGTGGACGAGGCTCTTGCGTGAAGGGTTTACGCTCTTGCGTGAAGGGTTTACGGGTTTCGGGTTTTCCCGTTTTGTGCTCTGAGGGTATTAAAGTGTGAAGGTTTCGAAACCCTTAAGTCCTAAGCCTTAAGCCCTTAAGCCTTAAACCCTTAAGCCTTAAGCCCTTAAGCCTTAAGTCCTAAGCCTTAAGCCCTTAAGCCCTTGAGCCCGAAACCCTTAAGGCTTAAGCCCTTAAGCCCTAAGACCCAAAAGCACAAAGCAGTCTAAAAGCACAAAGCAGTCTAAAACCGCCAGGCTGAAGAAGCGACAGGAAGCAGGAAGAGAGCAAGCTCCGTGGACGAGGCTCTTGCGTGAAGGGTTTACGGGTTTCGGGTTTTCCCGTTCGAAACCCTTAAGCCCTAAAGCCTTAAGCCCTTAAGCCTTAAGCCCTTAAGCCTTAAGCCCTAAGCCTAACGCCCTTAAGCCCTAAGCCTAAAGCCCTTAAGCCCTAAGCCTTAAGACTCTACTCTAAAGCCGGAGCCGAATGCAGCAAAATACCAACAATCCTTCGGGCAGGTCAAGAAAGACAGAAGCAAGGAACATAGAGCACCCGCACAGAGAGACGCAGAGGCCGAAGTGTGGCTGCAGAAGCTTTAGGTTTAGGGTTTCCTGCAGGGTTTAGGCGTTTAAGCAAGGGTTTTGCTGAGGGTTTTGTGGCAGGGTGGACGCGTTTTTTTACTTGGTTCCAACGAACAGAACAGACGCCCAGGCTCAAGCAGCGACAGGAAGCAGCAAGAGGAGAAGGTGCGCTGACGAGGCTCGCAACTTTGGTGTCCTTCAGGGTTTCCTCCCGTAAAGCCCCTGTAGCTGAAGGAAGTATTAAAAACGGTTTGGCAGGAGGCAGAAAAGGTCGACATGGAGGATGTCGGCAAGCAAAAGCAAGCAAAGGCCAGGCCGAGAGCGAAGTAGCTGCACACAGTATAGTGGCCGAGTCTGCTTCACACGCTTCTGCAGTGAAGGTCCCATTTTAAGAGTAGCTGTCAAGTCCCACCAAAACGATGTAGCCTTTGGGGTTCAGAAGCGGCGTGTGGCGTAGGAGCCATGCCGAAGCGGAAATGGCAAAGCCAAAGTTGCCAGTTCTGTCACAGCCCTGGGCATAACGTGCGAGCGTGTCCGAAACTCGCCCAGAGGCTTTTCAAGGCAGTGCAGCGCAAGCACTGTGCCGACAAAGTGGCAGATGCCGTGAGCCAGGGTGCGAGCTCCTTTGCTGTCTGCGGCATCCAGGTGAGATATGGCTCCCGCAAAAGTGCAAAGAAGGCTGAGAACCGTCGAGTGAGGCAGGTTCATCGCGGGACCCGTGGCATTTCCAGTGCGAGAAAAAAACAGAAGCGCACAGCTGGAAAGACTTGGAATGAACAAAGACGGACAGAGAAGCGAAAGACGAAGAATGAGAAGCTGGTTCAGGCGGCTTTGCGTTACGATGTCATAGGAAAGGCTTGGTCAGACATGAAGCAGCGCGGGTTCGTGAAACCTGGTGTCCGAGGATGCAGAGGGACCTTCCTTTGTCCTAGCTGCCAGGACAGGCGCAGCTGTCTGTGCAGTATGGCCCTCAATGCCAGGCAGCAGAGATCTGCGGCAGAGAGAGAAAAGCACGGAGAATGGCTGCAGCAAGGTGGGAGGCAGATGAACACCGTATGGTTTCGTGGCACGAAGTGTGGCAATCCCATCTCCTGCATTCGCTTCACACACCTGCCACAGATGAAATATGGCATGCCCCTTCCGCAGATCATGGACTTCATCAAAGAGTTTACCGACCGCGCAGTGCCGAATTTGCAGGACATCTGCAAATGTGTGGGTGTGAGTCGTTGCCCTTCCTCCAGGAAGCTCTATGACTTTCTGCTCCAGAAGGAAGCGTTTCTAGGATACGCCTCATGCAGAAAGTCAAACTCAGTGGCATCGTGGAAGCAGATGGTACGGCCTTGAAGTTATACAAGCGGAAGGGGCATAATAATTTCATTGCCCTTTGGGGGCTCGCAGAAAGGCCGCAGAATGAGAATCCGGCACGGATGGTCGTGTACATGATGCCGGTGAAACAGGTTGCGCACAATGCGGTGTGCCCCGTCGAAAGCAGGGCGGACGTCTTGAGCTGCAAAGGCTTGGAGCATGTCGTCAGCGAAGAGACGGACAGCGGCAAGGTGACGTCCTTACTTGTGACCGACGGCGCCAAGCTTTATGAGCGCTTAGCCAAGGAGCATAAATTGAAGCATCGGTATGTTGTCCACTCCAAGGGACAATTTGCCGAGAAGAAGCGGGTCTCTGGCCGAGGCACGGTGAATATCAACACTGGCCTGATTGACCAGCGCTGGTCTGCCATCAAACACTATGTCCCAAAGAGCTTGAACGGTAGCAGCAAGGAAGGCAGTACACCTACTTTTTGCCCGCATCTGTGAGAGCACATTTCCCAAGCGCAAAGCGCCGCGTGGAACTGTTTGCAAAGGCATTTCGGGAGGAAGCCTGACGCAGATGAGACTGTTTCCGTAGCATGCACGACAAATCCTGGCCTCAGCAAGCAGTGAAACCCCCAAAAACGCACCATTGGAACCGAACCCGCTAGCAGGGTTTAGAGCTTAGAGTGTCTAGGCTTCCCACTACTCCATCGAAGCTTTGCAGGCCTTGAAGGCCACCCCAGCACCACCTACCCTTCTTGCCCAAGCCCTTGGGGAGATACTGTGTCATGCCATGACGTATACTTCACCCCGAAACCCTAAACCCTTACTAGGAGGTGCTTTTACAGCCTTTGAAAAATATTAGTAGGTAAGATCCTCTTAAGCCCAATAAGAGAAAATATAAAATGTCCCAAAGCCCTACCTAGCCTAATCCTGCATGAGTTGGCCCAGAACGCGCTTCGATCTTATCCCCGGGCCCCCATTTCTGCAAAACTCCCGCCGTACGTAGCCCAAAGACTTCAAGGCCCTTTAAAGCAGCCACCCATAGGCTCCGGAGTACCTTACAGGATTCTAAGTATGAACCCCAACAAGGAACTATTATGGGGCCTATGGGCAGCCTTGAATCACATTAAGTTTGACCTTAATAAAAGAGTAACGGGAGTTTTGGAGTTTCTGGCTAGCCCATGTCCTCGGCGATGGACGGCGGGTCGCTGCTGCAAGGGGTTAAGCTCGCAGGTGACGATGTGGTGTCCAAGGCATTGCGAGCAACGGACCAGGACCAGCAAGATTGTGGGATTTGCTATGGGGCTTCAGGTACAGGGTCTTGGAGTTTAGGTGCAACTGGAGGGACTGAGTTGCGCTAGCATGAGGGGCAACTTGGGCTTCATGGGACAATTTGATAAGTTAGTCCGAGGCAGCCTGTGGCGTGGGCGAAGTGGAGTCATTAGAGAGACGGCGGGTGTTGGATGTTTAAGTGGAGTTCGCGGCAAGTGAACTGGACTAAGGTGCACTTCCACGTCCTCGGAACTTTTACAAGCTACACCCCATGGGCCCTAGAATCCTTCGAACCTACCGTTGCTTGCTTTCAGGGTCCTTCTGACCGATGTCTACATACATACTTGTATATATATATATATACACACACATGGCCGTTAAAGACTCGGAGATGCCTTCAACTTGGGGGTCTATGCTACGATGCAATATATATATATATATATATATATATATATATATATATACACACACACACGCTAAAGCCCGGAAAATCAAGGTCTAAACCATATGTCTTAACCTACAGGGTGCCATGTCTTGTCTACGGCTATGACGGGTGCTGTAGCCGACGGAAAGCCAGAGTTGCACCGGATAACCAGCAATAGCCAAGCTACAGTAGCGCATGCTTGCCTGCTAGCGGCAGAATTTCGCTACTTTCCTGCCTGCTGCAGTGATGACCGCTGCATCCCAGGTTACCATGATATGGCATCGTCGGCGAGACATCGAAACAAAGTCTCTGAACGGAACAAGCCCTCAAACCTCAGCCGAAACCCTCAAGCTCCCAGCACACAAATAATACTAAAACTTTCTGCTCTGCCTTTGGCTGTTTGGAGACCCCGATTCTTGCAGCTACCAAGCCCTATGCTCGGTTTTTGCCGAACAACCACAACCTAGAAGCCACAAGTCCCTGACCCTTCAAGCCCCCACCAAACTCTATAAACCCTCAACCCTAAACTCCGACCACAGCTGCCTAAATAAGGTAACCCGACAAGAGAACTACAACGGAGACTACCTGGACCCCCAAAGTATGTAGAATAATAGCCGTTTATAGGTTTTGTTTGGGCCATTATTTTACCTATTACCTACTGTTGGGGGTCTAGGTATAGAGGATCCTGGGAAGCTCTTTGTCTCAGCTCTCGCACTTCGAACCTCCGATTCGTCATGAAACTGGAGGACCTCCCAACTTCCGGAACCCCTCCCATCGCCTTAGGGATGAATAACGTAGTGCTAAAAGTAATCCATGTTATGGGTCCTTAAAAAAAGCTCAAGACCGTAAGGTTGCTGCTTAAGGCTCAAAGGTGTGAGGTAGGGTTTAGCGATGATTAGGGTTTAAGCTTTCAGTCTGCTGAATACGGCTCTTCTCGTCACCTTTCTCCTTAGGGTTCAAATTCGGGCTTCGAACCCCCTGCAATCGTTACCGCAAAGGAGTGTTCTTTTATTCTCGCTAAGTCACACAGGTTTTGTGTGATTGTGGCCGTAGCCTCCAGACGCTACGAAATAGGAGCCGATGGCCCAATAACCCTTCTTCGACTAGGCTCCAAGCACACAAACGTAGTTTGAGATCAATAGTTTGTAAAGGGCGTTTACTTGGCCCGGGGTAAGCATCGGGTGCAAACCTTCGAAGCTAAGTCCACTTGATCAGCTGCTCAAAAGCACTGAGCACGAAGTCGTGCACCACTGCAAGAAGAGGGCCCGGATATTGAGACAACTCCTCTTAAAAGTTGTGACGGGCCCACAACGCATTAATCTACGTCACACCGACGCCGGCGCTGGCAAAGGAGGTGCTAGGGTCTATTGATCAGCTAAGCTTTTGCAAGGGTCTGCCACGGATTCGCGGCCTTACGGCTCGATATAGGGCTCGGTGTAATCGAGAGGTCTGAATCACTGAGTAGCAGTGACAAAGGCCCCTGAGAATTGCTACATCATTGTCATTCTACTGTAAGATAACCCACCCTGTTTTAGATACTAGACCCAAGAGTAACCCAGGAATTAAAAGGGTGCCCTTTTTGCTTTAAAGGGGCTTGTAAGGGAACCTGAACCCTAAAAAAGGGAATAAGATAACCCACCCTGTTTTAGATATGAAGGACCTGCCCAAAAATCATGTTTCAGCTTTATGCTCAGAGTGGATGAGCGGCTTCGGATTCGAGGTACCAGCTGCTAGGCACAACGCCGAACTCTCAATGGCGGAGCTTAAAGCGCCTAGGGGGTCATGGTAAAGTTGTAAGCTCGGGGTCTAGGGTTTAGGGCCCCAAAACTCGAACCCGAACCTCCACCAACCCAAATCCTTCTCGCTGAGGGTTTTGGGTGCTCCGTAGAAGCCACAGAGGGCTCTGAATACTATGTCGCCACCAGCACCCCCGAGTATTCTGCAGCGCTGTCGGCGTTCAAGCCGGGTGCCCCTACGGCTTCAGGGTTATAGGGTTTAACGCCTCTACGTCTTAGAGCGCGAAACCAGGCGAGCAGAAGCCACCTCCCGAGTGCTTGATTGGCGACGCACCCGAGAACCAATTACACCTGGAACCCTGCAACTCAAAAGCTCTCAAACATGCAAACCCTTCCAAGAACAGCCTAAGCTTTGAGCCCAAAGACTCCGACAGACGTCCTGCGATTGAACGGAAGCACAAATAAGCTGTGAGCCGTCCAGGCCTGAAATAATGACAAGCACCCTGCTGCGGGTCAAGAACTGATCATACTATATAGTAATCCTACAGAAAATAAGACATTACGGGCCCCATATTTACAGCATTACTGTTTTTCATGTTTTTGGTTTGCTTCAGATTTGAAGCAACATCACTCGTGCACACGATATGGTTATCCTCATATGCATATTCTTAAATAGGATACATGTACGTATACCCATACATGTGCACAAACAACAATGGTTATCACATGTCCAAAGTTTTTGTTTCAACTGTCGACATGACTATAGAGCAAGAAGTTTGACTCACTTCTTGGCTGGTTCAGGCCCTAAGGGCGAGAACACTGCTACTAAGGGGATGGCGGGGGGGGGAGAGGGGGGGGGCAAAAAAAAACAAAATATGGAGGGGGGGGCAGCGCAAAAATAAAAAAAACATCGAAAATCAAAAACTCCCCCTCCCCGGGGACAGCAAGCGACAGCCAACGCCATAGTGCGCCATACTGCAGGAGCGGACACCAACCAAGAGCCACATGATTCAATAAACCTGGTGTCCTTAGCCCATGCAAGCCTCACTACAAGTGAGTAGATACTGTATGCCGAATATTAAGATCAATAAGATTACATACTAACCAGATAAACATCTATAGAATCTATAAAAGACCTCAGAGACTTACTGCGTATAGAAAATTAGATATCGGAGATTACAGCTCACAAAGATGACAAACTATTTATGACTGGCACAACATCATATGACGAGGAGACCTTGCATTAACATACATTCGACGGATGCGAACTCACGACACAACCACCTCCTGAGCAATGCCAGGTGGACAACCTGTTGAAGGGTCTGTCGTAGTCAAGCGATAACAACAATGTTTGACGTCGCATATGATGTGGTAGCATATGCGAGGACATATGGTCGGTATATATGTCGGATGTCAGATACATGTATGAGCAGTCTCCTCGATAACATATACAACAAACACTGTCTTCGCCTTTCATTGGCAGGTTGCGATGTAAGGGATCCGAATCCAACTATCTTATAGGTGCATGAAAACGGGAGTTTGAATATTCCACTTGTGCGATGTTCGAGCAACATGGTGGGCTCTGTCGGGGAGTTTACAACTGGAAATCATTATTGGTTTATGTTCCTGTGATCAGGATCGGCTACTCGCAGTAATCTGAATATCACTATACCAAAACTGGCTAGATATGGAAACAATATATCTCATGACCACGTCATGGTGAAGTATCAATCTTCCCGTGAACCATGCGCATCATAGTATGATATGGCGTAACACACTCGTGCGCATGTAGCATGAGGTGCTAGGGAGATGCCATACGAGCTTGGCAAGCTCACGGGATGCACGAGGACATCTAAGTCAAATCTCATAGTGAAGATATGTGTCATGAGATGCTGCCTGCATCTTGCGACCTATTCATACTTAGCTGCGACTGTTGTAACTTCATGCGAGATTGGGTTTATGTGTGAGAATAAGTCTCCGGGCTTTTAGAAAGGTCTACCGAGGGGTTTAACCAATATGTGGTGCAATCCCGCTTGCCCGTGCGGCCGGAAGGCGTAAAGGGGGAAGCC